TTTCGTGTATCGCATATGCTGCGGATCTCTGGTCTTGTATTCGCAGCTCAATCTATGCACAGCGTGACGCCACAAGCTCCCGCCAGTAGTGTGCTAGCGTACGGTCTACGAAGAGTCTATGCTTGGCCCTAAGTACGAGAAACCTGACCGCGCAACCATATCTCGAGCAACAGACATTGGGCATGGGTTCGCGTTTAAAGGCCGTTACAAGGAACATGACCATTTTTCTCCAAGCACCTTCAAACGACAGAATACGCGTACTTGCTTTCAGGTAATTACGAAGGCAGATAAAGAAATCCTCGGAGCATCTTAAGCGCGCCTGTGTTAAATAAAGGGCCTTTCATAACGAGAGTTTAGAACGAAGTGTATTGGCGAGGCGAACCGCAACGTTGCAAATAATACGGTACACAAATGTACAATATATTCAAATACTGGTATTGAATAGAGCAACAAATAAAACCCCTAAAAACGCCGATGACGTTAATAGGCAGTTTTAGCAGCGTTACCTCAGGCTACCACGAGCACAGCTACGATCCTAGCGCGCGCTGAAAATTATGCTTCAAAGGCACAGCACGAGCTTTCGGTTGAAATGCAGCACCGTACGGTAGCCTGGGGTCCATGCTATCCTACAACTTCCTATCAATAACGATAGCGCAATTTCATGACGTGTTGCAACACACGGTGAGCGGTGAGCAGCGAGTGGTGAGCCTGTGACACAAAGACATCGATACTGTGAACGCTGCTCTTCCGGAGCTTGACGGTCACCGTGAGCGGCTCACTTTGTTTAACACTAATGACGAGCGAAAGCGCAAACACCACGATATCTTCATTGCGCTCAAAAGTATTTTTGCCACGAACAGTTACGTCGACGGTGCTCAAAACACGCTCACCGTCCAGAAATATTCGCAAATTGATGTTTCCGCAACTTTTAAATATCAACATGCTTGTTTTCTTGAATCAGATCAACATCTTCGTCACCTGTATTATGCTCCTGCCCTGACCGGTTCGCCTTTGTAAAAAAAAATGTATTGTTTTTAAATTTTACAGCACTTATCAGCGTCAACAAACAGGCGCACGTAAAATCCTGGAGAATCTATCCCCGTCTATTCCGCTGTCTTAGAACTACCGACCCGACACCTATGGGGCGTTGGAGTTTGCAAATACTTTTAAAAGCACAATAAGGTTTAGGAAAGACCTAGTTAAAAATAAACATCTTATCTCTAAAGCGCGAAATAGAAGTTACATACGAATCCTTACGCTTGCCTTCTTTGCTTCACGCCCCAGGGATAAAATTAACACCTGACACCGTACGCCGGCAGCCATGTCACGACCTAGTTCAGATTATAGCAGCAACTTGCGCCCTCAAGAATTTTTTTTTCAGTTTACTAGAAAAAAGGTAAACCAGCCAGGTGTACAAAGAAAAATGGATGCTTTCCCTCAAGTCTAACCAAACAAACCATCTTGTTCCTGTTAAGGGTCGAGACACCATTCACAGGCGCTGAAGAATTCAATGAATGTTTCAAGTAATAAATGTGGCTATACTCTCATATATTGCGCGAGCCTTTTTCGGACTGTCCATCTGGTTGTTCTTAATTGTGTTAATTGTGTTAATCATGAGTACAATTTTGTGTAACTTGCGCTGTGCACCTTCCCCCTATCAAGTAATTAGGGTGGCGATGTGGGATAGTCGGTTCATACTGATAAAAGGGAAAAACATCACGCGAAAAACAGGGACAAAGTTGAAGCGGACACAGGCCCTTGCCTTGTGTTCACTTCAACTTTGTCTCTGTTTTTTTTTGCGCACTGTTTTTCCTTTTTTAGACATCAAGTATAACTTGATATCGTTACTCGTTACATGATCAAAAAACATAAAAATGCCTGACTCTTCCTTTTGCACGGAGAGTAACTAAGTCGTTACCTCTGTACCAAAAAGCAACTAAATACATGTAAATCATCACTTGTTACGCGTTACGCCCAAGTCTGCGGGGTGGCAAAGTGATAGAAATTCCTTATGCGTGACCTGTGACAACATGAAAAAAAAAATTATATTTACTCAAACATCACGCCGTTCGCCATTTTGGCAATTACGGAATGACAGACGCATAATCGTTTTGCACAGTTACTCAATCTTAGCACGACCGAAAAAGTTTGTAGGTGACACAATCATCGGCGATCAAGCCACAACCGGCAATCCCGTCGTGTACACGGGCAGTATAGCGCGCGACATTCCCCAAACTCGAAATTCATTCGGGAGACTGAAAAATATATCAATCTGAATATCTGCTGAGGTAACGAACGGTCCGGCGAGACCGCAACGACGTCTGGGTCAGCACGTTCCTAAATCCCGCCTGAGACAATCAACGTCTGACGTCGATTTATTAGGGAGGCGTCATGAATGTCTTTCAGGATCGCTGAGGTGTCACAATCATACTCAGTGACAGGCAATTAGTGCGGCAAATCCTTCGCATAAGGCGGACATCACCTTAAAAGCTGGTTCACACGTCTGAGTATAGCCGCGTTTACATGAATGCGACTTAGTCGCATCGAATCCTGCTGTCGCATCAAATCCGGTCATGCAAACGGCATAATGCGCTAAGGAAACTCATCGCATTCAAATCTCTATAGACAGAGGTGACAGAGGCTTCGGCGCAAGCGCAAACGACGCCGAGAGCTCCGAGCACTGCGTGGTAGCGCAGGACGAGCAGCTCCTACCTCGGTGCCGTTGCCGGCTACGCCGGAGCCTTTTGGCCTCGGGGCCCGGTTGGTCCGGTCGCGGACGGCGAAGTTTAGCGCGGCGAAGCGCGGCGAAGCGCGGTGGCGTTCTCAGAGCGTTCGGAAACGGTCTCGCTCGCCGTGGTTTGCGCACACACGACATTTCTGGTCCAGAGTGGCCCGGCGGCCCGGCTCGGAGCCCAAAACGCTTGGGTTTTGATGGTTCTTCCGTCTCGTAACTTTTTGCATACCACCGAAGAGAGCGGGCACTATCTTTACGCTCGCCGAAAACGTCGAAAGGCCTTCACATACGATCCACCGGAAAGCGTGGTCGCGTGGTGCGGCTGGAGCCAGAAACGCAAATTTAACTTTTAGCCTCGACACGGCGTGGCGCCACCTTCGCGTAGGGGCCTGCTGCGCATTCATGTAAACGTTGCCGCGTCGGCTTCGTTCGAAGGACGATTGGAGTCGACGCGCTGAAGTCGCGTTCATATAAACGCGGCTAATGATTATGACCGAACGCCTTGGGATCTCATGTAACCATGTAACCCTTTTACACACAGTACACTGGTGCCATCTATCGGGTGGACCTGCAACGCCTCAAATACGCGTATAACTATACTTCGCTTCTACTTAAAGGCCGACGTACACTTCGCGCTTCCCGCGTTTGCCCGCCTCCTGCTTTCCTTGATCCTCTCCCCTTTTTAACTTGCCCCCACTTTGCTCACCTCGCAGCTTAGGAGAGGGGAGAGCTAAGAGGATTAGCTTCCCCGCAGAAAACTGAGGTTGCACGTCGGCCTCTAAAGGCCCGTTCACACTCTTGCGACCAACTTCGACCGAGAGAGACCAGACCGGTTTTTAAGCCTTTTGCGACTTCTTAGGACCGGATCCGCTGCAGCGGAGCTGGTCCTAAGAGGTCGCAAGAGGCTTAAAACCGGTCTGGTCTCTTTCGGTCTAACTCGGTCGCAAAAGTGTGAACCGGCCTTAAAGCACCATTCACACTCTTACGACTGAGTTAGACCGAGAGAGACCAGACCGGTTTTCAAGCCTTTTGCGACCTCTTAGGACCGGATGCGCTACAGCGGAGCTGGTCCTAAGAGATCGCAAGAGGCTTAAGGCCCGTTCACACTCTTGCGACCGAGTAATACCGAGAGAGACCTGACCGGTTTTTAATACTTTTGCGATCTCTTAGGACCAGCTCCGCTGCCGCGCATCCGGTCATAAGAAGTCGCAAAAGGCTTGAAAACCGGTCTGGTCTTTCTCCGTCTTACTCGGTCGCAAGAGTGTGAACGGCGCTTAACAGCCAATCTACTAAATCGTCTTTTGCAGGAAAAAAAAAAAAACGGATCCCAGTTTTCTTTTTTCCATTTCCTGTCGCCCTCTTCTTCCCTCTTCCCCACTCTGGAGCGCGTCCTTGAGCAACTCCCCGTGGAAAGAAGGAGGGTCTCCCTTTCTCTTGGATGGATAGGAGGAATGGAGGGAGAGTTTAATTCCCTTCTGGCAGCTGATCGGCCTTTAAATCAAGAAGCAGCCGACGCTACCGAGCTAGTGGGCCGAACCAAACCGCGACAAAGCGCAAGTCACTACGACTTGTCTGCATATGATTGGTACAGCGATGACAGAACACGCACAGGAGCATGATGAACACCATGATGGTGCTCTTTTCACTCTGTATGATTTGCTCCATCGGCTTGTAGCGCCGGCTTCGTCCGGGTTTGAGATGAAACGAAGTATGGATTGAAGGTTTTCCAGTTGTTTCGATATCAAATCTGCGCACTTTAGACCTTTCCAGCTCTTATTATTCGGGCGAAAAATGCTGAGTCACTGAGCTGTGGACGCATGCGCACTCTCTGCTATACCGCACAACAGAGCTACAGCGCATGCTCAGAAGGCGTTGCACACACCTACCTCAAATTATTCTAAATTTCAAGGCAAAATATGTACCAGTCAGGCCCCAGAAGTAGCATACTTCAGCCATCGGGTAATCCTAAAGTGCCTGAAAAAATGTATGTAAATTACAAGACAAAATCGGCCATTCTGTACATCAGGTTTTGCGAAATGTTGAAAACAAGTACGTAGAAATCACAAAGAGGTTGCAGAATGTGTTGCGGGTCTACTACTAAGATAAGATGAAAGCAACTATTATACAGTTTCTGCATGGCAGAAAATCTCTTCTTTCCCCCTCCCTTTCCTTCTTATTTAACATGGAGGTAGGGAATGAGGTCGGAAGAAATGAGGGGACTATTTCTTTCTTTTTTTTTTGTGTGTGTGTGTAGTGGAACCACAGGATGGGGTGAGAGGGTGGAGTTATTTTCTACTCTGCTTGTAAAGCAAACTTCAAAATCAGTTTCTAGAAAATGTGAGTAAAATTCAGGAGCAAAGCAGCGATTTATAAAGATGATTTGTTTGCATGTACGTTCATTTGACAGCGCGAGGTTATATTGACTGAAAAAAGCGCATAAAGGGGCATTCCATTGGGTCATTAAACTGCTGAGCCGGGGCCCTCAGAGCACCTGTAATCACGAATTCGTCGTAACACGACCGCACGACGAAACTTTACTTCCCGACGTATGATTTTGCAAAGGTACAAGCGAGCAGGACAAGAACGACGAAAATAATCCCTGGAGAAGGGGAACAAGAGGAACAAACAGAAACCTCCAAACACAGCTAGGTGACTGGTGCGTGACCGAGGAGATTTGTGTTTGTCCTTTGTCCCTCTTGTGCCACTTCTCCAGGGATTATTTTCGTAATTCCCGACGTGTCCGCGGCCGTTGAGAAGAAGGGGTTTTAGTAACCGTAAGTTGAGAATTCGTGCATCTCGTATACCACCAGATATACGCCCGCCATTTCTACTCTCGACTCTCGACGTTTAGTGTTACTCATATATGGCATCCCTGTAGCCGCATTCTGCTTTTAAAAAAACCCTTTTCAGAGTTCCCGAAACGCTACAAATGCCCTCTAAAAAAAAGGTTGCGTGGTGAACGTTTTGTCAGATATTCGAAGAAATTAATCTCATTAGAGCTTTATTTCATTTCATTTCACTCCATTTTAGGCTCTCCTTTATTTAATTTTATATAAGCTTTATTTCTATTGCATTTAATTCAATCTTCGTTATATTATTCCACTTAAATTTAGTTTCGATTCGCAAAATGTCTGCGGAGTTTTTCCGCAGACATTATGACAGAATTATCCGCAGACATATCTGCGGACAGTTTCCGTACAACCAATGTGACATTTATCGTCGTACATGCAAGAAGCACGTCTCAGGCAGTGACTGTATTTTTTTTTTTTTTTACTGTGATGTGTTTTAAGTTTTTTTTTTTATTAGTAGTAGTATTATTGCATTTAAGTTTTGTTTCTTTGTTTATTATTTGTTTTGTTTGTACTTAAAACCTAGTTAAATCTTCTCCGTTCTGTTTTTCGGTGAACGCAGAAGCCTCATCCGGGACTTCGGCGGTGAGACTCTGGAGCTCTCGTCCATCCTTCCGGCCAATCCCAGGGAGTACGACAACCTGGCACCGCCAAAGGAAAAAGGTGACGTCCCCCTTCTATGTGAAGACTCCGTGACTGGTCCCCTTTTGAAAGCCGTTTGAGACCGCCGATGTAAACCCATCTTGCACAGAGCCTCTAAATTTGCATTTAAACGTGTTTTTTTTTTTCTTTTAGTGACACAAATCACGAGTAAACAAAAATCAAGAGAAACATTTTTTTGTGAGTGTGTGTTTTTGTTGATTATTTTCTATCTCGTGCCTGAGCATAGAAAGGTGGACGCCTATTAGAAGTAATTAGTAACCTAAGAGACATATTCGCCAGAAATATAACATCGCCAATAAACCGTAATAATTATCACCATTGCAACAATTACTTGGGTAATTTTGGTCAGTTTATGATGTCATTAATTTGCCTTTATTATTTACGTTTCTCTAAATAACATATAGTTACGTTCTTTGTACCTGCACATATCTAAAAGTTGTAGCTAATTTGTTTCAGAGACATATGGTTGCGACGCGCGAGATGATTCACGCAGCAAATTCGAAATTAATCTTCTTATGTAAAACTTTAAAGCACCCAGCAAATACATTTTACGGGTATTTTCGCGAATAACTTCACAGTGATTACTTTCTCCGAAACATTACCATTTAAAATACCCAAAAGTCTTTACCACTAAAGGAAAATATTTTTATATATTCTTGATTTTCTCAAGCATATATATAAAAAAACTATTGTCATCTACACTTTTTTCTTTTCGTATTAATCCGGAAGCACAGCTAAACTTCCTGAAAGAGACCCAAATGGCGCGTCCGTAGTTTAAAGACTTCGTCTTTCATTGTTTTGTTTTCTTTTTATTCCGTCTAAGAAATTTGCTATGCCTTCTACTATATCCCGCGAGCCAATATTTGTGGTTCGCTTCCCCTACAAATGAGAAAAGCGAGAACAAATCTTGATTCGGAACGAGCGAGCGGTACTTGCTTTAAATGGGACGGAACGTAAAATGACACCTGCGATGATGATGATGATGATGATGATGGTTGTCTCTCCCTTTATCTAACCTTAACGAAAATCTTACTTTTCTTTTCTTTTTTTCTTTCATTCATCTAGGCAAACCGACCGGGGTCAAATTTCACGTGACCGTTCTCAGCTTGGATTCTATCGACGAGGGATCCATGGTGAGCAGCGTCGCCTCGTCCAATACGGCCCATAAATGAGGACAAGGCCTGGGCATGACGTCATCGTTAGTGGGGGGAACGCGCAGGCCTTCTTCAAGGTGGCATTAACCCTATCCCTCATCTCCTACCTCACTCGCGATAACATGGCCTTTAAAAACAAAGAGAAAAAAAAAAGGTAATAACGTGTTAGTCCGTTACTCTATACCGGTGAGGTCAGTCCACTGCGGTGGCGCTGCTGTTGACGCAGACGCTGCGCAGACGCTGCGCGCGAATCAGATTTCTGCCCACGAGCTGCAGTACCGTTGTGGGCAAACGCTTATTTGTTGTCAAAGAGCGGATCGGTGGTCCCTAGCCTGTTGCACAGTATTTACTCAATAAGAAGCTATAGATAACGCGTTATTTAATGACTGATGTGGCAATTTTTTATTATTCTTTTGTGCCAGCAATTTTGAAAAAAAAAAACAAGTCAAAAGTCGCAAGTGGATGTTTTTTTTTTAACGCAACATCAAACAGATGGTATTTTCGTATTAAATGGCCTTGTTACACCCATTCCCCGTTTCTTCGTTTTATTTAGGCCGTTTTGATGTCTTGAAAAGACTAAGGCGGGCCCTGTGGATTCTATGCGGATAGCAAGTTGTCTGCTTCTAGCTCGGGAGTTGCGGTGACGTCAGAACAACGCCGAGCACTGATTGGCTTTTATTTATTTCAAAATACTATCAGTCTCTATTGAGACTATGATAGGGTGGGTATACAAGCGTACAAAAAAACACAAAAAAACAACAGCATCAAGAGCAGCACACACTTGAAAAGGTATTATGAAAGATATCGCCAAATAATCACAAAAAATGCTTTGACAATGAAAGATGACAATATAGATCCGTCATGGGCTATGATGCGTCGGCGAAAAACAATACAAAAGACAAACAATGTTTATTTACATTTCGCAAGATGCTATATAAGAAGAAAAAGCTTCAAGTGATTGGCATACCACAGATTGATTGGAAGGATAGATGGGAAGGCCTCAATGCCAAATCTCTCAAGGTCTCCCCAATAACTTTTTTTTTCTTCGGCCATCTAAAAAGAGCTCGGCGTTCTGACGTAATCGTAATTCTCCCTAGCAAGAAGCAGACGACTTGCTCTCCGGATAGCCCTTTAAAATTGAGTCCCCCTCCCTTTACATTCTCCCCTCCTCAGCATTCTTTCTAGCGCAGCACAGAGATATTAAAGCCGTTGTCAAACTGATCAGATACATCGTACAAACGACACGGAGTTTCCCCGCAGACACCATGGCAGAGAATTATCTCTGTTGCAAGCACGCTTGGTTAATGCATCTGCTTATAACTTGTCTGCGGACAGAGTTTGGATGACCAATATGGCCGTCCTAGAAAGAATACGCCTAAGACAGTGGTGAGTTTTAAGGAACCTTTTTTTTTTTTTTTTCAGATGCGATGCGGCACGATGGGCCCTCCGGCACGCACTGCGCATGCGCGAGTCTTCTGCGGTAGCGCATGCGCAGTTCATACCCGAGGGCCCCTCGAACCGTGTCAGGAGTGCAAAAACGGTTCCCTATAAAATTCTCAATACTGGTGCGACCGGCGGCTCGGCCTGTGGCCCGCTTTCGAGATGCCTGCACACGTATTCGCGAACTTGTTTTTGTTTGGTTTGCCTTTGTAGCGAAATGCAGCCCAAGATCGTAAACCGACCACGTTCGGGTGCACGTCTCGAGTTATTGAAGAGTTTTAGTTTATCGTTTTGGGTCGATCCCGCTACGCGCAGTCTGCTACAATCTCCGTTATGTGTATCGTGGCGGAGTCTCGTGATTTAGTATTGAACCAACGTTAGCAAGCCGCTTCATTTAAACAACCGGAAAGAATAAACACAAATTCGGGACGAAACCTGACGCATACAACGTTCCAAATTTGTGTTTATTCTTTCCGGTTATTTAAGTATATTTACCAACACGCTCGTTTTTAATGTTAAGCCGCTTCGGTTTACAGCGTTACGAGAGCCAACGCGACGTAACTAGCGACTTTTTTTAATTTTGTAGCGTGAGCTACACTGGCCGAGGTTGAGCAGTTTCGCGTGGGTCCTGGAGAGCCGTGCTGCGCATGCGCGAAGACCAGTGACGTCACACGGCGCACAGCTGGCACGCCGGAGCCGCAGCCGCCGCGCGCTCCGCCGCCGCCGCTCGCGCCTCGCCGGTCTGCGCATTCCAGAAGAGTGACGTCATAGCCGCGGCAGACGCACTGGCGCCGCCGCGTGCCCAGCTGTGCGCATCCGTTGCGCAGTAGCCAAGTCTGATGCTGCACCGGAGCCGCTTGATAGCGCCTCTCATTTTTTTTTTAGGCAATCCTTAGTGATGTATTGTTAGCGCCACTTTCTAGATGTACTATACTTTTGTTAATGAGTAAAGTGGTCATTTTTGCTTCGTTTATAAGTAAATTAAAATTGTTTGTAATCGAAGGAAAGTGAAGGCCGCGAGCTCGCCAATTCGACCCAATTTCAGTCAAACGACAAGACGTTGAGGAAAAGCTGTCGGAAACAACAGCATCCATAGCTATTCTGATGTCACTGTGATTGTGCTGCTTTTCCATAAATTTTTTTTCACTGTTTACTACAGATTAAACTCCGCAAAAATGTTTCGGATCCGCTCTGTCGCTCGCTTCTTAGGTTGGTTCTGTCCTTGCGACACAAGTGGCCGAGCAGGAAGTCGGATCTTTCGCGCACAGCACAGACTAATTAAGCTTTTTTTTTTTGTTTCGTGGCCGTACCTTATGTCCGTGATAAATCGTCACCTGTCGCGTTCCTCAAACGTATCTGTCGCGCTACCTCTCGTAGCAACACGGTATACCGTCCGCCACGAAGAAGTGCAGCCGCGAAGCGGGAGAAGCAGCGCGGACACATGCTTCGTGGCGGACATCTTGAATCGCGTCCTTTTCCCCGGCTTTCCCTAATCTCGCGAAAACTCGTTCTCGCGAGACCCACGCTAGCACAGCTTCGACAACGTCGCAATACATTTTTCCGCTAGCAGCGCGCATGCGCAATATGCGACGTCGCTGTAGCGTATTGCGTATCGTGAAAGTCAATACGATCTGCTAAAACTCTCTATTATGGCCGTAGGCCACGGTCGTAACAGACCCTCTACAAAGGTACATCGAGAAATATTGCCGGTCGCCATTTTCGGGGCACGTGAAGCGTATAATAGGATCCGAGTCTTCGCCGAACGCTGACGTAACCCCTGTGACGTCATACAAGCTCAAAGCACGTATCCAAACAATGGCCCACTCGGATGATTGGCGCAATCGCTGCAAGATGGCGCGCCGCACTTCTGGTGAGGGTCTATTCATGCTGAGGATCTCTCTCCAGCGGTAATAAACCTCCTTCTATCGAGGAGACTCGTCTGGTAAAATAACGGCATTGCCTAATTAATTACCGCTGCAGGGTGTGCCCTCCCTTTCACCTTACGATGGACCGCAGCTGACGCTACGAGCCATCGTGGCCAATCAAACGTCGCGTAAGTGTCACGTGACCTTCGGAAAGGGTGCAGTGACGCGCTGGAAGTGTAGTCACGTGATACGCGTTCTCGGCGCTAGATTGGCTCCGATGGCTCGTAGCCTCCGTTGCGGTCCAGTCCAAGGCCAAACTGAATTCGTGAGTGGGCTGCCGTTATAGGGGCGCTCTGCTTCCCCCACATAATAAAACGAGTCTGTGAGTGTGCGGGCCGTTGGATTGTTTGATGCAAGAAATATCGTCCCCTACACGGTTGTACACAACCCTACCTACCCTAGTTCCTAAGCGACCGGCGCTCGCTCTTTACGCGTGTACATAGTTAGCTACTCTCCCAATGCCAATAATGTCGTCTCGATGTTCGCCGTGTTTGCCGTGCACGGGGGCAATCTACCTACCGCGGGGGTGACCCATAGTCCACGTGTACTTATATTCTCCTCTTGGTCCAGTGACTACAGCATTTTTATTTTTATTGGCGTCCCATCTTACAAGTATCGACCTCGTGTTTTTTCTTTATGCTTCCTTTCGTCACAGACGCGCGTTATTGATACGTCTGATCTTTGTTCTTTTTCTTCTTTTTTTTCTTTGACAGACGCGCCTTATTGGTGCGTGATTTGCACTCTTTGAGCTAACAATGTTTAGGCTAGGCCACGATGAAGAAGTAAAAGAGAGAAAGAGTGGTGTCTAAAGGGCGTCTCCTCGCCATGGAGCAAGTGCGACGAAGGTTCGCTCGCATTTCTGGCAAAAACCGTGAGATCTCGCAACACGTCCACGGGCATCTTAATGGACATCAGGCCGTCTTTAATCTGCGCACACGTTTACAAGGACGCGTAGCGGGCGACGGGCGTGGGCGAAGGCCCCTAGACCTACAGCGCCACCCCTGGGAGATGCGCGCAGCGCGAGCAAACTTTTTTTCGCCTTGGCTGACCTTGTTCGTGCACCTCACTTTTCTTTCACTGTGTGCTCAGCTGTGTCGGGCGTCATGTGTACGACAAGAGAGAGTGTGAGAAAACGAGAGGAACGGCGTCAAATACTCGCATAATGTTGCCAACTTTCTGGGACATTCGGTGTAATACAGAAGTTTCCAGGGAAATATCGAAATGTTAATTGATTCGCGTTCTATGATAATCAGGCAATTACAATCATCGGTGATATTACGATCTTTTGTCGAGATAAGCAGAAATTTATAATTTTGTGAATTTTGCCCGTAGGATGTAAATGAACAAAAAAAAATGTGTCGAGCCGTGGAATCAAAAAATAGAAGCGTTCAAGGGTTTAATTACTGCTCATTGATACTCTATGAGTGTCATCCAAAGTATTCCCGGGGAAACATGGCTACGTTTGTTGTTGTTCAGTTGAAATTCTCATTTTAGTGCATGCTCCGAGACGTTTATGTCCAAGAAGGTTGAGGACAAAAGGCGACAAACGAAAACACATAGAAGATCGGAAAACATGAGTAAATTGAGTAAAGTTCAGTAAATAAACTGAATAAACGAACAAAGCAAGAAATAAATCGACGATTGTATGTTGTGCTGACAGATTAAGAAACGCGTATGGCGCGGCTTAACACGAACATCTAATTTTCTCTGCTCGCCGAATGGGATTACGCCATTAGCCGGTAAGAGCGAGCAACAGCCAATCCGAAACGAGAAGCATAAACCTCATATGCCACGCCTTTTTATTTGCCTTGTCAGCGACTCTAATAGACTGGGAAGAGAAAAAATAATTGAAGGTTGGGTTCCTGAGTTCAAGAAAATAAATACGGCATACGGTAAAGACAAATATAGAATGTATCTATTTAACAAGCTTCGGTATGGCGCTCTTAATAATGCCATCTACGTGTTATATTGCGCAGAAATAGGAAATAAGCGTTTGGTTATAGAAAACAATCAAAGACGTAAACAACAACAAAAAATAACAGGAAGCCGAGAGAGTTGCAGCCCTTGCAATCGGATCCTGGGGGGTCGTCCGATCCTTTTCATGATTGGCAATGAGCGTACTCAGGTTGATTACAAGCCCTCCGGTACGCCCAACAGATGATTAGTTACATTAGTGGAGAAAAACTCACGAGCTAGATAGATATACAAGCCGATACAGCAAAAGGAGCCAGTGTTAACCTTCTAACCCCCTTTGCACCACAGTGATGTCTCGTTACTATAAACATATCCATTCCCAAGAAAAAGAAAATCGTCCATAATCTGGATAAACGAAACGAAACTCCACGCATTTCCCCAGTTTGTCTCCGAGAAGGTCGTCTCTATTCCTAGGTATTTATAATAACGGCATCTGTATTAATGACACCTGACTGTACCATAGAATAAATTGACCGAACGAATGCCTGCATCGAGGTCAGGTCTGCAATTTAGTCTTTGTTGAACATTCTGAAGCGGAGCTTTCTTGGTCCCCTTTGACCATTCAACGACAGAAATTGCGCCCTATCACTTTAATCTCCAGCAGGACTAGTAGAACCCCTAAGAGAAGATACAATACTAAAAGTGTCATAGGTGCACGCAATCACCTACAGATGGGAAATCGTGAACGAAGACAAAGAGTGCACATAAAGAGCGGAAGATTGCAGAACGATCGGGTGCTTTCTTTTATGTTCTCCCACTCTTACGTTTTTTCTAACTTCTGCCAGCCTTTGCAGTTCCGTGGTAAAGTAGCCCGTTGACTTCGGCTTCGACTTCGCCCATTTATCCTGGTCACTGACTCTTGCCGTTAGCTTTGTACGCCACACAGCCTGACCATTGAGTTTGGCTATGAACTTAGACCGTTGACTTTGACCGCTTATTATCAGCATTGACTTCGGACATTGGCTCCGACCAGTGACCTTGGTCATTGGCTTTGACCATTAGCTTTGACCATTAACTCTGGCCATTACTTTTGACCATTGACATTGACCCTTGGCTGTGACTATGTTCATTCCCTTTAACAATCACTGTGTCCATTGACTTTAGTTATTTCTATGTGCCCTTGACTTTGACAATGAAGTTTAGAAAGTGATTCTAATTATATACTTTAGGGATTGACATTGGCCTGACAAATCGAGCTAATTTGATCATTGTTATTTTAAAACTGACTTGATATATTTACTAAGGTAATATGCTGAGCCCCTGATTCTGCTTAATTCCAGTTAAGATACTTGAACTTTGGAAGATATTTCAAGTAAATAAATACCTAATTTGATTTCTACATTGCAGTTGTTAAAAGATTGTTGTCCGCTGTCCTCGAAAGAGCTTGTGTCCCATTTGAACAGTACACGCTGCACTTGGGACGCGTAGTCTGTCACCACATGTCCTGCATGCAGTTAACGCCGCCTATAGACCTTTTCCACAAGGGCGCCGCCATCTTGAATTGTCGTCACTTCCAGTATGGGCGAAAACATTACTTTGCCGTCACCACGCAAAGAGAAGACATTTAGGATATAAGCATAACCGTCACACATTCTCGTTTTGGCTCCCCTCTATTTTTTTACTAGTTACAGGTTGAAACGTTTTACTATTTTGTCGTCGCCCATACTGGAAGTGACGACAATTCAAGATGGCGGCACTCCTGTGGAAAATGTCTATACTCCGCGACAACTTTTCTTGGCAATGCAGTGGAAGGTAGAGGCCCGCGTCCCCTCTCCCATTTTGAGTGTACAAAGGCTCTCCTCCCCTCCCCGGAAATGGGGGAGGAGGAAAGCCTGCGTACACTCAAAATGGGAGAGGGGACGCGGGACGTACCTTCCACTGCATTGCCAAGAAAAGTTGTCGCGGAGTATAGAGAGGAAGCCGTAGTGCTGAATTTTATACTTAACCCACCGAGGGCCAACGAGGGGCATATATTGGTCATTGGTAAGTCTTCGGCTCAATCTCGCGTTCTATCAAAGGGAGCGCAAGCTCCATGCCGAACACTGACACAGCATCCGTGTACATTCTCTGCCCAGCACCGGCCCGCGATAGGTGGGATAGAAAATCCAACAGTACGTTTTTCTATAGTTGTAGTTGGTGACAGGTTAAGGGTTCGAGAGAAGCTCCGCCCGCCTCATGTATAGCGGAGCGAACGCTGGAGAGGAGGCAACCTGCTCTGCAGCGTTCGCTTTGTTGAAGTGGAAAGGGATAGGAGGAGATGACCCTGATCATCTGAACCTGTAACCGACTATAGATAGGTGGTATTGGTGGGTCCCCGATTTTAAATTGAGCGTTCTCATTTGCTCGGCCCTTGGCCCTACACGTCGTCGAGAGTGAACCGTGTTGGCGCGAGAGCTATTCTTGGAGGCTGGCATCGGCAGTCATCCGTGCCGAGATTGGTCTTCGTGAATATATCTGAGTTTTCATGCCGTGGTCACGGTATAGACCTTTTAAAAAAGTTTGCGCTATATAGAACTGCCTCGCCAATTATATTGTTCCGCCATAACTTGGCCACGTAATCTGAGCATGTATATTGAACACAAGGGCTGCGTCCGCATTCGGCGAAGACTCGGATCCAGATTGAATCTGAGTCCTCGCCAATTGTACCCAAGGAAATGGCGACCACCGATGTTACTTGATGGGATTCTAACAAGGCTCTATTTTGTCCTTGCATTTCGTCTACGTTCATCTGTACCTCAACGTTCCCGAACGTCCCCTTTGCAGACTTACGTGGCAGACATCTTCATGTCCCAGTCCTGGTACGACCACCGGCTGCGGTTACCACGAAACATGACGGCGAAGTACCGGCTTCTCCCGGTCAGCTGGCTCAAGCGCATGTGGAGACCGGACTCTTTCTTCAAGAACGCCAAGAGGGTCACCTTCCAGGAGATGACCATACCCAACCACTACATCTGGCTCTACTCGGATCGGAGCATACTGTACATGGTCAAGTGAGTTCTTTCCCAAATCACCGGGACTAATGACGCGCTCTTTTGTTTTTAGCTCAATAAGTGGTGTGAAGAAGATAAAAGAAAGGTGTTTTTCTCAACGCAACCGTAAACAAGGCATCGCCGAACTCTCAACCTCCACTCAGATAAAGTGCTAGCGGTTCGAACTATACACTAAGGATTGAGAGCTTACCATTATATGACCCTGAAGTTATAAGCGATTTATTGACATATCCCGGGGATTTGCTCATTGAAAGTTTCCGAACTTTTGATTCAGATGAAGTTCTAAACTTCGGCATCAGGTTCCAATCACAAGTGGTATATATTTGAGCAGAGATGCGGGTGTTTGAACGGATATTCAGGGGAGAGATACAATTAACCCCCCCCCCCCTTTCCCCCCTTTCCCGTCTCCTGAGTTTACGGGTTTAGTATAGACACTTTAAACACGCGCCAGATTCAGCCGCCATTGCCGACCTTCTCTTGTCTCACCGAGATGCCGAGCCACTGAAGCGGGCATTGGCAATCCTCCACAGCGGCCTATGTTGGGGAGAACGACGCAATAACACCTAAAATGGCAATAAACTGCACTGCTGTGGTATTAATGAAGTGGAGCGAACGGAATAAGGAAGGAACAAAAACTGAAAGTCGGTTATGGCTGCGCCCATGCACAGCTGCCTGAAAGCGTTTGTAGAGCCCTAAGCCCCAAAACCTCGAAATAGCCTCAAACTAAAAAAAAAAAAAAAAAAAAACATAAAAAAACATAGCGTTTCCCTTTTCCCCTTCCCTTCTTTCTTGGCAAATAATGCTTGGCAAAAATTACGCCCCCCCCCCCCCCCCCCCCCCCCCCGCCTTCTGGCAAAATGTACGGCGAGACTGAGGGTTCTAACGTGCGCAGTTCCGACAGTAAACAAAAACTGTTCTCGTTCTCCTCCAAACCAGCCCATAGGTGCGCACGTGCAGTGATGTTGATAGGACGCACCTATTTATGCAGAGCACGAGTTTGTCTGCTTCTTGCGCAAGGGTTGCGGTGTCGTCAGAAAACCTAGCTCTGATCGACTCCGATCGGAAGTATATAGCGGGTAGATCTCAAAGCAGCTGGCCTACATGCAGCTAGCATCTCACGAAGTATACCCCTATATACTATGGTGCCTGGGACACGACTCCGACTGGTGTACTTACCGCGTCCTTAAAAGTGGTCCCTCGATGTTCGCCCGATGACGTCATACAAGTGTCGTGCTGCCGCCAGCCGCGATTCTGGCGGCGTCCCAACAGCTGCGGTGTAGGTTGCAGACGCCTGTTCTGCTGCAGGTCGCTCTCCAGTGAGGCAGTCCACGGAAGCTCCGGTAACCAGAAGTTGGGACGCAGCGATGACAGCGACACTCGCGTTCGGTTGTGCTACTCGCAGCTTCTCGTTAGCATTTCTACGACCAATCGCCAGGATCGCGACATGCAACAGCGTGACACTTCGGCTTCTGTGACGTCATTTGTTGCTACTTCGGGACCTCTTTCTGTGTATGGGCAGCATTGGACGCTAAACGCACCAGTCGAAAACGCGCTCCAGGCGCCATACCTACACCGCGTGAGTGAAATAGATTGCTGGCTCTTCGAAGGCACCGCATAAATCTGATTTCTGACGTAAAGTTGTGCAGATGGTTGTGCAGGGGTGGCCAAATATGGCGCGTTTCGTGTAATTTCAAACGATGAACTAACGCGAGTACAGATTAAAATGACAAAAGTGCGAGTTTGCTTCCTACGGCGCGGACGTCTGCAAATAATAGACGTCTGGGTGACGCATCAGACGAAGGATGGCGGTCGCTGCTGATATATAGCCGAAGTAGCCCGACAAAAATTAAAAGCTTTTTTTTGTTGTTGTTGTTGTTTTGTGTCTATTTGATGTGGTTTATTAGTAAACATAACAGAATCGTACAATACACCGAAAGCGCCCAGTTCACATTTGCCTCAAAAAACATCGGTGACAGCGCTCTCGCTTTTCCCTGTCTCCATCTGTCAGCTGTCGCACCAATCAGAGGCATTTTGTTAGTAGGCAAACGCCGTAGGTAACGAATTCAACCGCTTTTTTCACTCTTTACTCATGAAAAGCAATTATTTAAAATATTAGCGCTCAAAATACACCATATTTTTCCATTTCTGTACGAAATCTTAGCACGATGCGTTAAGGAACCGATGTATGTGATCCATTCAAGCAGCCAACGATCTATTTTACTCACGCTGTAGTTTAATCTCCTCGTCAACGGCTGCCCCTGTCTCGCGCATAAACAGCGAATTCGTTCCTCGACTAAGTAGTAGAGCATCGTGTAAGTTATTTATTGATTGGGTGATCGAAATACGTTCGTTCGCATCTCCCCTATCTACCCCTCCCCTCTCTCTCTCTCTCTCTCTCTCTGAACGTAGGTTGACCCTTCTCCTGTCGTGCGCCATGAAGTTCGAGACGTACCCGCACGACACTCAAGTGTGCACCATGAAGATCGAAAGCTGTGAGTGCTGCCTTGGTGTTCCTTTGTTTTCCTACCCGCATTCTTTTCAAACCTCGGTAACCGAGGGGTGTCGCTGCTGCTGCTACGACCGGAATGAGACACACATTGACAAGCCGACAGAAATGTCTGTGTGCAACCCAGAAAAGAAACAAAAACATGACCCGGTAGCAAACAAGACTCGTCCAATATGTGGTTGGTCAATAGGGGGCTCGTAATAGGTTTCTTCCGTCTCACTGCCATCTTTCGCTCTGTTGTCTTAACCTCGGGAGTTCCTGAAACGAGACTGAGAAACAGACACACGATCGTTACGGTATTAGTGAGAGGAAGAAAATGCGTACGTCCCCTTGATCCGTACCGGATAAAGGCAGTGGATTGCAGAATTGGATTATACGTTGGATTTAGTATAAATTAACTCCAAAATACGCCAAATTTATTGGCATATATATATGAACTAATTTACAGTTACGCTCATTTGCTGCTAAATATAGCCGGTATACAAAAAATAAAAGGTCAATCACAATGCCTTGCTGCGTTACATTTCGGCGAACACTGCAACGTAGATGCCATTAAAGAATCGAAGGTAAAGTTTAAAGGGCAGAGTTCTAGCGAAAAGCTTTGTTGGTCAGACTCACTCGAGTGAGAAGAGCATTCTGTGAAGCCACAGGCTCTTGCCCGGCTCTCCCACGAGGATACACAGAACTCTCGAGAACGAGCAAAGAACAATACGGAAGCAAAACAAACATCTTTGACTCGACCTGACTCTATCTGTTCCTTGGCCGATTCTCATCCGGTTCAAGCTCCCACTATTCAAGAAAAAAAAGTAATCAAATCAAAGTGAGAAGTTTGTCCCGCCTGTCACACAGGCATGTTCGAATGAACTCCCGGAGGAGCACCGGCGACGTCGCCAGCTCTCAGTCTAACGGGATTAACTGGGCATAGAACACGAAACTAAGGTCCCAGAAGCTTGTCCCTGGATCTGCCCGTGTTCTCCTTTCTTACCCTCGGACCCTTGTTTCTCTAGCGTGTATGGACACTGCAGGCTCCGGCGACTGGACGCTCCGAAACCCCAGCAGTGCCGCCGCACCTTTGGTATAGTCGAGCAAAAAGAAAAAACAAAGAATGAAAAAAAAAAAAAGTACTTCCTGGAGCCTGTCCCCGTGAAACCCGGTGTTCTCTCCGCTGTTCGGTTTGTCGATAAGGGATGTTAGATTTCCTCGTAAGCTAAGCTTGGAGCTCCAAGCTAGCGTCTCCGCGTTGACATTAGCAGACGACATTCGAAAAATGGCGCCGACTGTTACTGGCTTCAGACTCTGCATCTGCATACACGTCTATTCAGTAGACTCTTCGCTCCTATGGTGACGGTATGGTGCCTGGAACGCGTCTCTAAGTGGTGTGTTTACCGCGCCTAAAAACGTGACCCCTCGATTTCCGCCTGATGACGTCATAGAAATGCCGTGCTGTCCCCGGTCGCGATCCTGGCGGCGTCCCAATAGCTGCGGTGGATGTGGCACACGCCTGTTCTGCTGCAGGTCGCTCTCCAGTGTGGCAGCCAGGGTTGCCAGGTGTTTGAACTCCAACCCGCCAAACGTCTACGAGATATAGCCCAAAAATAGCCAAATGTCGATCCAGAAAAATAGCCCAAAAATAGCCCTTCAAAAAAACTTACCATTTGAAACGTTTATTTTGAAAAGAAAAGACACAATACATTTTTATCCATCAAATGCCCCAGAAATGGCGTCCCATGCACGTTTGGCGAACTTCCTGAAACGCTCGTACAAGCGCATGACAACATACCTTCCACCAGGGTGTAAGATAGACAGGTGGGGAAACGAGAGCCAAATGAGCGACCGTATTGTGTCCCCCTCCGTTTTTTCATTTTCTGTGGCGCCATCTATGTGGAGCACCGCGAACTCTCACTCCGGGTGGGCGGCCGGTGGCGACCGGCAAAACTGAGGAAATGGTTTCTCGTGGATTTTCATTGGAAGACTGTCGCGCTCTCGGTTAATTTTGCGCACTCTCCCATAACGTTCCATGCGAATCCGATTCCGATTTTTATTCTCTCGCCGCAGCGCCATCTGTCGCAAATCGGGGTACCCGCAAGCAGACGAGTACACAATCCGGTCACGGCGCTACGGTAGGCTTCTATGGGCCGTTTCCCCACCTGTCTATCTTACACCCTGCCTTCCACTATATTGGGACGTCACGGGAGAACTATGCAGAATTCAGACAACTTAAAGAATGCGCAGAACAGGGGCTGTTAAGGCCGGAAACAATCGCGCCGTCACTTTTTGAGATGGAGGAATAACAGCACATGATTGCATTCGGAGGTAAACAATTGCACAAAGCGCGCAAAAAGAAGACGAATTAGTTTGCTGTCGCCAACTTATCAGGGTTAAGGAACTGAAGCGCCAAATGTTCACGTAACTTACTCTAAAAATGCATTCGAACCTATAAACCCAAGTGCTTTCAGGCATTTTGGTTCAAGCACAGGTCAGAAATTGCCCAGAGCACAGGTCCGAAATAGCCCAATGCACAGGTTAGAAATAGCCCAATACTAGCCAAATAGCCAACTACCATTTTTTCCCGCCAACTGCAAATAAAACTAGCCCAATTTGGCTATTTATAGCCCAACCTGGCAACCCTGGTGGCAGCCTACGGAATCTTCGGCAGCCGGAAGTTGGGACGTCACGACGACAGCGACACTCACGTTCACTGGTGCTTTTCGCCACCATTTCCACGATAAGCCGACCGGATCGGATACACCGGCATCTCTGTAGTCATATGTCACCATTTCGGGACCACTTTTGATGTATGGGAGGGGTAGGACACTAAACACAATAACAGTCGGAGACGCGGTCGAAGCACCACAGTGGTGGTGACAACAATGACAAACTTTGCAGCGCGGAAGGAGACAATGGTGAGGCGATATCAAGTGCGTGCTAACGCACTTTTTGTGTTTGTTTTTTGCCGCGTTTTTATTGGGCGGGCGTGAACATAAAGAGTTCGAAGTAAGGACTTAACGCAGATTCCTCATTTTCTCCGGCACCTAATATTTGGACCCGTTTTTCGCAAAACGTATGTTTTTATTCTAAAATTTGAACTAAGCTTCTTTTTTTTTTATTGCAACATAAAACTAGCTTAGCTGTATTTTTAAAAAAAATATATATACCATTCGTCGGGCTACGCGTGTATTCTGTATTCTCCGTCGCTGTTCTTAAATCTGTTCGGTGGTATCGTTCGTATTCATGAAAGGCGGTCTATGTGAAATAAAATTCATGCTGGTCTTTTTCAGGTTTTCAATTTCCAGCAAGTATACAATCCAAAGACAACGGAATCACGTCGGTTGCATTGGCGTCGGTGCGTCACACGAAACTCAAGAACAAACCGTTTTCTTGTTTGTATAGTTGTCCCTTACGGCGGATGACAACGGGATGGTGTTTACTAAAACAATAAGCTGACCAATTTTTGGTCACGTTTGAGACTTGACCGCCGAAGCCGGAGAAGCGCCGACAAATACGGGCGAATCAGATCAACGAAGCGAGACGACAAGGAGGGAGGGGTACCCGTACGAAAATGTCAGATATGGCCCTGATATATTTTATATATGGCCAGATATGATAATATAAGCAGTCAAATAGGGCTGCATTTCGCCAGATATGGGAGCTTATACGGCCGTATTTCGCAATATAGGTGGGCAAATACTGCTAGATCTGGCCGTATAAGTGCGTAAATACGGGCATATATCACCATATACGCGCGCAAATATAGCCCCAGATAATGATATATGGGCCCGTTTCAGTTGTAAAAGCAACAAGTTATACGTACTCGCTAAGACACTAGTTGATTGATCTTATTGCATGAGTCTCATGTAATTGGTTAACTATTGTCAACATCCTTAAAGTGAAGTTATTCCAGGAATTTGAACCAATTAATCAATTGCGCAATTTGAAGATTGAAAGACAAATGAAATTTGGTTGTATGTCTGATGTGTGACAATATGACGAAGTGCGATCGGAACGCGAGTTAATCAAATAATGGATTTTAGTCGCAGCTCTAAGGCACCCTTTTCCGAGTTAAGCGGTGTTGGCGTCGCCATCGGTGTAACCGCCCCGCTAAATTTAGCGTGAAATTGAATTTGTACGTATGTCACGTGATGTCAATTTTCCCGCGAAATCTGGCAGTGAAACTAATTTTTTTCCTGTTTCCCCGCTAAATTGAGCGGGTGAACATGAACCGTTAGCTTACTCAAGATGCAAGACGCTACTTTGCCGTCCCGAATCCTTTTCCCTTCGAACGGAAGCCGTTGCGCCCGGAGTACAATACGCAGCTCTTTCAAAACGGTTCGCGCAGCATCGCATCCGTTCGTCTGCGAGCGTCGGCGATTCATCGTCTGTTGAAAGTCGGAAGATGTGCTGTCCGTGGTGTCTTTTATGTGTAACTCGTTCGTAAAAAAATTTGAAACTGTGTACACGTGATTTTAAATTTATTGGTAAAATATGTATATACATATTTATTTATCTATTTATTTGTCAACATCATGCACAAAAATAGTCGGGTTTATTTTTTCATTTAAAATTATAATGTCGGTTATACAGCGTAAAACATAGTCTCTTGAAACTGGCATCGTTTTGAGTTCAAAAGCTGGGCTTAATAGAGCTGTATGTTCACTCGGTATTGACAGCAGGGTAGATGCTATGCGCGTTTTAGGCAAATCGTGTCTCCGATTAGGGTCACGTGACTACTGTCTAGAATCTGGTGACAAAGCAGGACATCGCACCTGCCTGGCACCCAAGGCCACACTTAGCATTCACAGCACTGTCAACCCTCGTTACAAGTGACACATCCCCTTGTTGTGGCCCCATAAGATAAGCCTTTTGTTCGTGAAACCCCGCTTTGGCCTCTCCTTCGATCCTTTTCTCTCTCTCCCTAAACTGAAAGCGTTGTAAAAGGTAAGTGGTCACGTGGTTTGACGGATGACGCATTAGCCGTGGCCGATCTCGGAATGCGTTTAGCCGGACCTAGTTTGGCGTGTGAATTTTCCCTCTGTGGCCGCTGCGTATGTCCGCTTTTGCAACCGATTTCTTCAAAGAAGCCCAAGAATATTTTGTGATGCGTTTAGTGTTCGGTTCTACAAACGACAACTTGTGCTACTATGTGTTGAATCTTCACGGGCACCTTCTCGTTTTTGTTCGAGTGGTGGTTTTGCCGTGGCCGT